GAAGTATGGATTTCAAAGATGAATAGATGACAGAGCCATAAAGTAGGAGTAGCTCTGGTTTGCCAGATCAATGGCTTCCTCATTCCTGCTAAGTGGGGGGAAATGGGAGAAGTCATGTCCTCTATTGCAGAAGGTCTGTGATGCCTTGTTCAGACAAGGAGGTGAAAGGAGCGGGCATGGCAGAAGCAGCTGAAGTTGGAAGAGCATCCCAGAGCATCATGTCGGTAGATAGATGGGCAGAGGGCTGGATTTAGTTTCCAAAGTGTTGATAGGAGAAGCAAGGAAGCTGGGAGACAAGCTGGAGATATAAGTTAAAAGAAAGCAGGAGAGCTCTGCACCCCTGGAACCTTGTGAGAGGGGGTTGAAGGGTTGCATGTGCCACATTCCACGTGGAATGTCAGAGAGGGCAAGTCCAACTGCAAACTCACCTGCCTAGGTGTGTACCACTCATAAATGGCCTCATCTCTGCCTTTGGCACTGGGGAAAGGCGGATCTGACATTGCCAGAACTTTCCAGGGAAACTTAACTGTTGTTAGTCTACCCCACTGAATTGAGAGGTTATTTGTGATTGCCTAATCGGGAAGAACAAGATATCACCAGGCAGAGACATATTTCACAGCTTTACCATCTCACCACCACCTCACTCACCTGGCCAGAAGCCTATGGTGACATCAAATCCTTGATTATTTCAACCATGCTTTAAAATTTCTGGGAACCCAAATTGTCTGGCTAGCAGGTACTGAAGAGGGTGATCTGAGTGGTCAGGCCTGGAGAAAATCCCCCATGAAATGTAAGTTCCAGATTTCACCAGCTGTCTTTTAAAATAGTTTATCGGTTCCTTTTGAATAATGCTTGTCCAAATTTGTAATTTTATTTATATTTTTTAAAGATTTATTTTTTTATTTTAGAAAGAGAGAGATTGAGCATGGGGTCAGGGGAGAGGCAGAAGGGCAGAGGGAGAGGGAGAGAGAGAGAGAATCCCAAGTAGACTCTGCACTGAACATGCAGCCCAACATGGGGCTCGATCTCAGGACCCTGAGATCATGACCTGAGTTGAAACCAAGAGTCAGATGCTTAACCAACTGAGCCACCCAGGTGCCCCACCAAATTTGTAATTTTAAAGGTTTTGATGAGGTTGGGGAAAGGAGGAGGGATTCATTCCGGTTGTACCAAACAACCCTAGAGGTCAATGGTGTAAACATATAGGAATGAAGAGATAGGGTGTAGGATGGAGAAGACAGATTCGAGTTTCAAAGGTCTAGAGTTTGAATACTTCCAAACTTCAATACATATATGAATCACCTGGGATCTTGTGAAAATGCAGATGCTGATTCAGTGAGTTTAGGGTAGAACCTGAGATTCTGGGTGTTTATAGCAAGCTCCCGGATGGTGCTGATGCTGCTGGTCTGCAGACCATACTTTGAGTAGCAAGGATCAAAACTACATAACTAGTCAAGAGTTGACTTCAGGGGCACCTGACTGGCTTGCTGAGTAGCGCATATGATTCTTGATCTCCAGGTCTTGAGTTCAAGCCCCATGCTGGGTGTAGAGATTACTAAAAAAAAAAAAAATGTAGCTTAAAATGTTAGCTTGTTTTTGAGGTGAGAAGGCTATTAAGTAACCCATTAAAACATATTGGGCATCAAATGTATGTATAATAGTAGGATAATTGCCACACTTGTAGCCAAAACTTGCAGGTGTAAATCCTGATTCTACCATTTTCTAGCAATAAAACTTTGGGCAAATCATGGGCCCTCTCTGAGTCTCAGTTTCTGCATCTAAAAAATAGAGGTTATAAGATCTGCCTGGGTTGCCTGACCATTCAGGGTAGATGTGAGAATCAAATGAAACAACTTAGTGAAAGTTTTTAATAAAGTAAAGTTGCTGCATATGTGTAAGCATTATTTATTATTATCATTATTATTATTCTATTTGGAGTTCAAGAAACCTTACTAATAGCTCCCGTCTTTACTGTTTTTATTTTAATAGATAACATCGCCAAGTGTTTGCATCAATCTGACACTGTTAAGTACAATACGAATTATTTGATTTACTCCTCACAACTCTCTTAACACTAGTGATAGTAATGTTAGCTCAGTTCTACCAATGAGAAGAGTAAGACCTAGAATATTAAGATTATGCCCAGCTGCTAAGCGTTGATGCTGTGGTATGAACTCAGCCTGACTCTCCAAAACTCAAATTCTTATTCACTACATCCAGTTGATTCATTGTAGAAAACACCCATCATCACAGAAGAAGGTGATGGTCTAGAACAGGGGTTGGCAAACTTTTTCCATAAAGATCAAGATCGTAACTATTTTAGGCTTTGTGTGCCAAATTTATATCCCTCGCAGCCATTCAACTCTGTCTTTGCAGCACAGAAACAGTCATAGACAATAGGAAAAGGAATGGGTGTGGTTGTGTTCCAATAAAATGTTATTTAAGACAAGTGACTGGATGGATTTGGCCTATAGGCTATAGTTTGCTGATTCCTGGTCTAGAAAATTCTGAGTTGTTCAATATGGTAGCCACCAGCCACACATGGCTATTTGAATTTAAATTTATTCAGGTTAAATTAAAATTTCAATTCCTCAGTTGCAATAGCCACATCTCAAATGCTCAATAGACACAGGGGGCTGGTGCCTACTATACTGAACAGTATAGAGATTTCCAATATAACAAAGATTTATAGGGGAGCCCTGGTCTAGATCAGGGTGGAGGAGAACCCCTTACAAGTAGCTGTAAGGACATGGAAATTCTGAGTCCTAGTTTTGCTAGTTAGCCAGCTGTATGACTCTAAGTCAATCACACCATCTCCCAGAGCTCCAGACCACACACACATAAAACAGGAATAATACCTTCCTCACCATGTTGTTGTGGGAACTGAATAAGATAATATGTGAAAAGCACTGTAATCTATTAGGAGCTGTACAAACATAAGCCATCATTAGGATTCTGTTGTTTGAAATAAGAGAAAATGTATGGACATAGAATTTGTGTAGGTACTTGAACTGAGAGAAACAGATTTTCTTTTAAATCACCCAATGGAAGCTATTAGGATGTCAAAAAATTACCAAAATAAGGAAATGTTATTTGCACAGTATTCTAATTTTTGGACAGGAAAGAGACATGAAACCAGGCAGATTTCATGGCCATTCATCTTTCAGAGCTTGCATTTGCCTTAGTAATGCTTAACATTTTCAGGAAACAGATGAAACTGTCCAGATAGGAACAGTGATGAAATTGGGCAGGTCACAGTGTCCCTCCTGAAAGAGATCAAATTTTTATTCTTTTTTGTCACACTCAGAGTTAAGAAGGATGGAGCTATCTCACATCAAACATTCTAGTCTTTCCCTTTCCTCCTCCTTCACAGGAGTCCCCTTTGTACTACATCCACTGCAGATCCCCACACTGGTCAAACACAAAACAGAATTTTGCCACTGAGTGATGGACCAGGCCATTAGCTGCCCAGATTGTTCCAAAATCTTGGGTTCCCCAACCCTCGATACTCCTACCATTCCTCTTCCAGGGAAATCCCTGCTATCCCTTCCTTTCCATGAGTCTATAGTCCCCTCGGTCCCTCAGGGACCCTGTCTCTTAGGGCCCTGGGGCCAGGCCACACTCCAGAGGAGAAAGTTTCCTCCTGTTTGGTGGTGGGTACTCCCTGTGATTCCTGCCAATAACTAGGAGTTATGTTTCATATGGATCCTTTCTTTTAGCTTTTCATATGAGCTTTCTAGAACCTGTCTCACACCTCTCTACCCCCTTTCTATTTCCTTTCACCTTTATATCTCTCAGCACTTCAGTACTCTAACAATTCACTCCTCTGCCACCTGCTAACACTTGCCTGCCTGGCTGGAACAAAAGTTCCCCTTCTCCTATACAGCTGCTGGTGGTGTATAGTGGTTGAAACTTTAGAAAAGTAATTTGGGAATATTTTTCTAAATCTTTACAGGGACACCTGGGTGGCTCAGTTGCTTGGGCATCCAACTCTTGACTTCAGCTCAGGGTCATGGGATCAAGTCCTGTGTCAGACTCCATGCTCAGTGGGGAGTCTGCTGGAGATTCTCTCTCTCCTTCTCCCTCTGCCCCTCCCCCTGCTCTAAATAAATAAATAAATAAAATTAGAAAAGCATATACATTTTGGGGTGCCTGGGTGGCTTAGTCAGTTAAGTGACTGACTCAGTTTCAGCTCAGATCATGATCTCATTGTTGTGAGATCAAGTCCTAAATTGGGCTCCATGTTGGGTGTGGATACTGCTTGGGATTCTCTCTCTCCCTCTCCCTCTACCCCTCTCCCCTACCCCACGCCCTCTCCCTCTCTAAAAAAAAAAAAAGCATATATACTTTGACCCAGTAGTTTTACTTCTAAAGAAGTATCCTAAGTAAATAATAGAGATGCACTGAAAATTACTAAGCAAGGATATTCATTACTATATTATTTATATTAGTAAAAACTTAGATATAACCTATTTGTCAACAATAGGAAAAGAATAAGACAAATATCAAATTTAGAAATGGAAATAAATACAACACAATATTAACAGTGGTTTTGTCTGGATATCTCCCTGGTGTCTCTGGTTATCTCCAGAGTACCAATGATTTCTAGTTCCTTCTTCTTTTCTATTTTTTACAATGCACATATATATATGATCAGAAAGAGATTATGAAAGTGAAGTTTCCCGTGTCCCTAGCCTGGTTCTTTTATATTGCTCTCTAATAGTCCCATTCAAAGATTCAAAATACACATTTGCAGGCTCAGACAACCCTCATGTTCACCAGAGACGTCCTAAGGAATAGCCACACACAGAAACTTTCCTGTATATATTTGAACAGAGTAACTTAAGAACTTACTCTGGGGTCCCTTACAACTGATGGTCAGTTTGGGTAGGAGAAGGGTTAATACACCTGCTCTCAGTGTATCAGCGAAGGGAATATAGTTGCCAATCCTGTGGTGAAAGCCATCTTGTTGCCATCATTGTCCCCGCAGTGCTGAAGAAATGGCGCTCATGAAGCTAAGTGACAGGACATCTCTGCAGATGATGGCAGTTGGGAAGGAACAACAGTTGACCAAGAAAAACAATGGCTTTCTCCAAAATATGGATGTGGCTGAAGGTGCAATGCAGAAGTAAGTGAAGCCTGGGCCCTGGGGGCAGTTTTTGTGGTCCTGTCCGGACACTTCCTTGGGACAGCAGGATGCAAATAATAAGACTGCCAAATTCAGGGGTGGGTTGACCGTCTTCTCTATGATTCTTCTAATTTTGACCTCATGAATATTTTTTGTGAGTCACTAAAGGGGCCTATGGTCATGAACCAGGTGGACATCAGCTGAATAGAAATGGTCAAGGCTCTAATCTCAATTTGCAAAAATACTTTGATTGTTTTGTGCCTTTATTATCTTCACCTGCAAAATATATAAACCATTTACAATGCTTTGTATAGTAGACAAAGCACAAAGTGTTCATGTAAATATACATATGCATTTGTTAGTACATGATAAAAATGTGTTATAATATAAACCAATGGTTAACAACCTTTTTAAATAGGGTGAAATTTATTAAAGTAAAAGATTTTCCAGAACGCTTGTATGTCAAAAAAAGCTATTATGACATCAAAGATGTTTTTATTTTTATTTTTTTAAGTAGCTAAATAATCCTTTAATATAGCATTATGAATTATTAGTAATTATTTCCTCAAGTGAAGATGAATCTATCAGTGTCATTAATGGTACTACATAACTTACTGAATTAGGGGAGATAATTTTTTCATTAAAAAAATTTTTTTTATTATGTTATGTTAGTCACCATACAGTACATCATTAGTTTTTGATGTAGTGTTCCATGATTCATTGTTTGCATATAACACCCAGTGCTGCACGCAAAACGTGCCCTCCTTAATACCCATCACTGGGCTAACCCATCCCCCTACCCCCCTCCCCTCTAGAACCTCAGATTGTTTCTCGGAGTCCATAGTCTCTCATGGTTTGTCTCCCCTTCCGATTTCCCCCCTTCATTTTTTTTAAATGCATTTGTAATTTGTTAATAACAGTTGTATATACATTTGGAAACTTTGAGCAGTATTTATTTACGTAAGCAATATTTATTCGGTCTATAGAAATATTTATAGATTCCCAAAACCCTTTCTATGCAGGGTAAGCGTAAAGTGCGCCCCACCTCCGGGTTGAAAACCCACAGACTGGAGACTCCACCATAGACCTCCATCACAAATTGACTATGATTCACTCAGAAGTATATGTGAGTGTGTGAGCATGTGTGTGTGTGTGTACATATACACACACACATGCCCTCCAGAAAACAACAGTGGTCCAATAGGAAATGGGCAAAGGATATTAACACACTGTAGAAAACGAAATACAAATGAGTTTTATACACAGAGGCAAAGATGCTTAACCTCGCTAATAAAAAAAAGATTAAAACTAAAATGAGATACCAGTTTAAACATACGGAACTGGCAAAGATTAAAAACTTTAATAATACATGATTGTAGAAAAAGAGTGGAAAACAGGCACACTCATCATTTTTGCTGGAAGTGTAAATGGGTTCAACCTCTTTAAGGCATAACTCGGTAGCATTTATCAAAATTTAAAATATATGTATCTATTGACCCAGCAATTCTATTTGTAGGGTTATTCAATAGATATACTTGTACACATATACGTCGACACATAGATGTGTCGGGATGGTCATTACAGCATCGTTTGTAGTAGCAATTAACTGGAAAGAATCTACGTATGCATTAATAAAGAATTGATTCGCAAATTAGTGTATGGCCCCACAATGGAGTACCATATAACCATTTTTAAAATGAGGCAGGGGCACCTGGGTGGCTCAGTCAGTTAAGCGTCGTACTCTTGGTTTTGGCTCAGGTCATGATCTCAGGGTTGTGAGATCAAGCCCCACATCCCGGCTCCAGGCTCAGTGGGGAGTCTGCTGGAGATTCTCTCTTCCTCCCCCTTCCCCCACTTGTGGTCTTTCTCTCTCTCTCTCTCTCTCTCTCAAATAAATGAATAAATCTCAAAAAAATAAAGTAAAATGAGGCAGCTCTGCATGTACTGATATGAAATGGACGCCAAGAGGCTGTTAAAAAAGAAATATAGGGTACAGAATAGTGTGTATAATATTCTCTCATATAGATTTAAAAGACATATATATTTACATAAGCATAGCTGCTTATTTAGGCATCGAATCTCTGTGAAAGAAGAAAGAAGAAACCAGCAAATGTTGTGGGGAGGACATCTGGGGGCTAGAGATCAAGATGGGATCGCAGACTTACTCCGTTCTGCATGGTCTTTGAACTACATGGCACTTTTTAACTCTACTTTTTTAAAAAGAGTGTTTATTTATTATTTGTTTATTTTACACACCCATTTGCACACACAGAGCTACACAGCTGCAATGGCTTTGGAATTTGAAATCTCACTGTTAAATCACTTCTAGATTCAGTCAGCAAATACTTATCCAGCCTCTCTATTCCCGTTTTGTGCAGCGTACTATGCCCGACGTGATTCACGCGGAGGCAGATCAGGTGGTCCTGGGGCCCGGGAAAGAGTCCAGTGTTCTCCCTCCAGAAATGTTTAGGGCAGGCCTATACTGTACTCCTAAAGCATAATAACAGCATCTGTTTTGACTGTGTGGCTTACAGTTTGCTAAGGGATTTTACCAAAATGGACCACATCTTGGACAGATCAGATGATAAGGACAACGTTTTCTCCAAAAAGCCGCAAACCGACTTCCTTCATGAGACAGAGACTACAAAATGGGTAAGGGGGAGACTTAAATTCACGGTGGGTGAAGAGAGTAACTTGACATCTACCTCAAAGCGGTAAGGCAATACCTGACGGTTTCCCTGTGGTCGGTGCAGGGTGTTCGGAGCTTGAAACCAGGAAGGAGGTGGTGTCTCCTCTGAGGGTTGCTGCTATCACATGAGGGACTTGCTAACCCTCCCACACAATGACTTGTACATTATATGTTACTTCGGGCCTTGGGATTTGTGAAAACACTGTGACCTTTTTCACCTCGGACTAAATTGCCATGTGTCAAATTGCCCCCTGCTCACAGATTGTCTTCCAACAGGAAGCATGAGAGAGATCTAGTTACTCTTCATTCAGTCTGAACATCTCTCGGTCTTTGAAAGTCAGTCACCCAGCTGACGTGGAATGGAAGAAATTTCAACAAACGCCTGAGATTATCCTGGAAAGGGTTTATGTTTCCACCACCATTTAGATCAAAGCAAAATCATGGCTGAGACAGACCGAGTTTATTATCATTGAGCAAATCTCTCCATAAATTCCCCAGGCCATTGACCATTGGTTTCAACCAGTCAAAAAAACATGAAGGAAGGATAGTGTGGGAATGTCCACTCCCAGGCCTATGCAGCCCCAAAAGGAAGCTCAGGATCGAGCTCATTGTCTACTTGAGTACTTTGAATATATTTTGGATTCAGGGATGGCTAATTCTGTCAATCCATAGAAGGAAAGGCCACCAAAGAATAGCCTAAGCTGGACCTTATCTTTAAGGATTCTTCAGTAAGCAAACAAAGAAATAGAAGGGGCTAGAAGGCATGAGGGGATGGAGTTAAAGATGTGGAGAATAGATAAAATGAGACAGACAAGAAGTGAAAGGACAGACAGACAGACACCTTCTATGGGAAAAAAAATAGGAACTGAATGAGAAGGGGAGATTTAGGATGGGGTTTTTAGGAAGGCTGAAGATGAGAAAAGGAAATAGGGCAATTGAGGTATGAGGCCCTATGATCTTAGGGAACAAATGAAGGTATTATTCTATAAATAATATCATCTGATTTTGGGGGGGTGGGGGCCTTGTCCCTGGCCTCCACGCAGGGGCTGCTGCCATTAAACCCACTTTGCCAGGACACCTTCCCTGCATGCACAGTGTAATGTGCCCTGCTGAATCCTGTCCATCAGTGAACATCACCTGTTGACCCAGTTCAGATCAGACTAATTAGAGAATAAAATTATTCACTCTGTAAGAGTGAATTATTTTTACCAAATAGTCCACATTCTCATGGTATAAGGCAAAAAGACTATTTCTTACAAACTTCAAGTCAGGGTATAAGGTTTACCAAAAGGCTTTCTAAAAATTTTGGCTATATTTCTTTATATCAATTTATTTATGCAGCAAATTCTACAATTATATAAAAATAAATCACGTGCAATTATATAATTAACAGAAGTATTAATAAACTAGGCTCTTTGCTAGTAAAAGGACAAATATATGACTTCTTGGGAAAGAAATGGTTTCTTATTCTCTGGAAGCAAAACAGAAGGTCTTTAATTTGTATAATCTTACATTTGTTTTTTTTTTTTTTTTTTTTTAAAGATTTTATTTATTTATTTGATACAGAGAGAATGAGAGAAAGAGAGCATGAGAGGGAGGAGGGTCAGAGGGAGAAGCAGACTCCCTGCCGAGCAGGGAGCCCGATGCGGGACCCGATCCCGGGACTCCAGGATCGTGACCTGAGCCGAAGGCAGTCGCCCAACCAACTGAGCCATCCAGGCGCCCCTTACATTTGTTTTTTTAATAAGACCATACGATTTAAAGGTTCAGAAAAAGGACAGAATTAACAGAAGTTTTTAAAAAAAAATCAGTTGGTTTAATTAACAAAACAGACTTTAGCCAGGCTGCCAAAATTGCCATAGCTAACCGTCAAAGCCCCCAACATGTTTAGAAGTGAATGGTTTGCTCTGATTTCGCATTTTCCAATCTCTGGCATGGTATGTATAGTGTTGATTTCAGGTGCCCAGTGAGTGAGCAGACTTTCCTATTTCCTGCTTTTGTCTGCATCTCTCACAAGCAGAATGTATTTCCTTACTTCTGTAGTCTTTTTATTATTTTTTTTCATAACTGGAAGTTTGTACCTCTCCATCCCCTTCCCCTACTTCACTCCTGCCCTCTGGCAACCACTAGTTTTTTCTCTGTATTTATAAATCTGTTTCTGTTTTGTTTTGTTTATTCATTTGTTTTGTTTTTTAGATTCTACGTGTAAGTGAAATCATATGGTATTTGTCTTTCTCTGACTTACTTCTCCTAGCATAATACCCTCTAGGTCCATCCATGTTGTCACAATTGGCCAGGTCTCATTCTTTTTCATGGTTGAGTAATATTCCATTGTGTGTATGTATGTGTGTGTGTGTGTATACACACACATATATACACACATATATATGTGTATATGTGTATATATATATACATATATAAATATACACACACCACATCTTCTTTATCCATTCATATATTGATGTATGCTTAAGTTGCTTCCATATTTTGGCTATTGTAAATAGTGCTGCAGTGAACACTGAAGTCTATTTATTCTAATACCACGTATTGAGCAACCACTATGTTCTAAGCACTGTAAAGTGTTGAGGATATCTCTGTCTAAAATCCTTTGCCCTCAGTGAGCTCACACACGTGATTGCCTCTGTCTTCACATGACCTCCCCCTCTGTGTAGGTGCTTTCTGTCTCTCATTAGGACACTTGTCATTGGATTTAGGACCCAGGTAATTCAAGATAATCTCATCTTAGACCCTTAACTCAATTACATCCACAAAGACTCTTCCAAATAAGGTCACATTCTCAGGGTCTTAGCATTAGGACATGGGCATATCTTTTTTGGAGTGACCACTTAACCCACTACACCATATGACCTTGGACCAATCATTAATGTGACTGACCTAGGGGATTTCAACACCTGACTTTATCCACCTCAAGTCTATCATGGGAATTAAAAGAAAGAAGGCACATGAAAGAAGTTTGTAAAGAGTTACATGAATGTTAGTTATTCCTGGTGATGTGGCCAGTAATTTATCCAGACATTTCAATAACAGACTGATCTGCACTCCAACTTTTTCTCCTTCCAGTTTAAAAATAGTTTTGCTGAAACACAAGGATTTCAGACCAAACTTCTTCAAAGGACAGAGAAATATTTCACAATGTCATTACTAAAGAAGAGAAATGTTCAAAGATAAATTATTGGCAATTGTGTGCATGCATAGAAGTGAAATACCAGAAAATGCCTTGAATATTTTTCTAGAACAAGGCAAAGAATAAAGAAACAAAAAATAAATTTTGTGGGTCAAGCTGATAGAGTAGGCTTCCCCTCCCTTATTACTTCTTATTATGAAAAATTTTAAATAAAAAGAAAACTCAAGTGAATTATATGAAGATCAATCATATTCTCACACTTAGATTTTAAAATTGTTACCATTTGTCACATTTGCTTTATCTTTACATATGTAAATAGATGGAATTTTTGAACCATTTAAAAGTAGGTCAAAGACAGCATGAGACTTTATCCCTGTTTATTTTCAGACAGCATTTTTAAAAATAAAGACTTTCTTCTACATAGCCAAGATTCCATCATCACATCAGGACAACTAACAATAATCCCATGATGTAACCTAATATCCTCAATTTTTGAGAATTCTAATTTTTTCAAGTGTCCCTCAAATGCCCATACTTTTATTTATTTATTTATTTAAATTTTTTTTTGGTGCCAAAACCCAGGAAATGCCTGTACTTTTAAAATCAGCATCGAAACAAGATCTATGCAATGTATTTAGCTGTTATATCTCTTTAGACTCTCTGAACATAAAACAGTTCCTTCCCCTTTTATTTTCCCTTCACATTGACTTTTTGGGAAACCAGTCATCTGGAGTGGAGTGCTAGAGTCCATGGTCGGGTGGAATTCTGTTACTCATCAGCACTGAAAAGAGCTCTGCATGAGGACACTGATGTTCTATGCATCCCCGCCCCAGCCTTCCTCTGTCAGTGGAGCAGGAGGGCATGTCTACTTATTTTATAAATGCAGTAGAAAGCTCCAGCCTCAGAGAGGGCTGTGTGCTTGCCCCCAGAGAAAGGGGCATAAATAAGCTAAAGAGATCATCACCTCTTGTTAAAACCCTTTTTTTCTGCTTTGCTTCTTTCATAATCTTTATCAGAATATGTTGGAGCTGGAGGCTGAGCATCACCAGGACCTACAGAATGAACAGGATGAACAAGAAACAAATCAGGTTCAACATGAGGATCCTCATGTATCCACATCTTTGCAGTTTTCCAAGGAGAACATCCCTGAACTGTAAGCCTTGACACATGCAAAAGGAATCATTTAATAATATTTTGTGGGTACAATGCTACGTGAAATAAGCCAGAGAAAGACAAATACCATAGGATTTCACTTATATGTAAAATTTAAGAAAAAAGACAAATGAACAAACAAATAAAAAAGACTCTTGAGTACAGGGAACAAACTGGTAGTTGTCAGAAGAGAGGTGAGTGGGGGGCTGAGTAAAATAGATAAATGGGATTAAGGGTACACTTATTGTGATGAGCACTGAATAACACATAGAACTCTTGAATCATTATGTTGTACACTTGAAACTAATATAACCCTGTATGTTAGTCATACTTTAAAGAAAAAAAGAAAATAATAATATTCTGTGGAGAAAATGAAATTTAGCAGAGCACTTAGGGAAAGCCTGGAAGATTTAAAATCCATATGTCTTAAACCTTTAAGCACTCATGTGCACAAGTAACTACCTACATATTCTAGTAAGAATATGGAGTAGAGGTATTTCTAGAGATGTAGGCTGAGCCATAGGTTTCTCTTTGCAAACTCTTCTTTGGAGAGTGGAATTAATGCATATCTTGTCACTCTCAGATAATTTTCTAGATATGAAAAGAATTATGGGAGCTCCTCAGTGAAGCTCAGTGGGGTAAGCATCTGCCTTCAGCTCGGGTCATGATCCTGGGGTCCTGGGGTCCTGGGATCAAGCTCCCTGCTCAGTGGGGAGTCTGCTTCTCCCTCTCCCTCCCCCCACTTGTGCTCTCTCTCCCTCTCTCTCTCTCTCACTCACTCTCTCTCTCAAATAAATAAGTAAAATCTTTTAAAAAAAAGAAAAGAATTATAATTCTCAATAGAAATGTATTATTAAACCCTTGTAGACCCTTCCCCTGTTGCATAGCTCTCTGCTTCTAACAAGAATATTCATTAGGATAGTGTAATTCTTAACATTCATTCCATGCAGGGAAATTAAAAATATATCATTATTTTTTACTAAATGTAAAATACATTTTATTTTCTCCAGTTTTATGAAGATCTGCTAAAATGGATATCAAATAAGTGCTCAAACTTTTTTCTTGAGGCCTAACTGCTTACCTGGCCCATTTTGGTGACAGGAAATGAATCAGCATACCAACTTGCCATTCAAAGAGAGAAGGTTTGGGGCCATTTGAAGATGTTTCCCATTTCTTACCTTAAAACTGATCATAATAATATTTCTGCAGGAGTCAGGAGAACACTTTCTTCCAGCTAAACTACTGGAATACACAGATGGGTCTACAAGTGAAAGAACTTGGAGCTGATCACATAGGCTGGATGGAGAAAATCAACAATATTATACAAAAAATAAACCTAACAGAAAACACAATGAAGAGGTAATTTTAGGGTATTGGGTTTGATCAGAAAATATTGAAAATTTTCATAGCTTCAGAAACTCTGGGTTTAAGGTGGTAAAGTCTTTTAGGCATGCCTTCAGAATAAGAAGTACCAAGTCTTACGTTTTGAAGTCAATGTCACAAAATCTCAAAGCCTGTTTCAAAGTTATCTGCATCTTTGCTCTCTCTTCTCTCAAGGAAAGGACTTCTCTCATTGGCTTTTTTTGGAAACTGTGTTAATGGCCATCCGAGGAAGGACTTCAGGTCTCCAATAACCCCTTGAGCTTTAGCCAGTATTGTCCAAAGGGATCCAACCTGCATGACATGAAAAAAGTATTAAAGAGTATGGTTGTTAAATTAATGCATATCTGAATTTAAGTGGAAAGTTTTAAGATGAAACTGAAAAGATAAGAGTAATTATTATTTTTCTAGTCACTGGTATAAAGAGAAGGGACTTTGGAGTCAAAGAAATTCCTTTCATTGGTGTTTTATATGTTCAGGGTACAGATATATCACATTTTGTTAGATTTGTGCCGAAGTATTTCATGCTTTTGGTGCCATTATACTTTAAATTTTAAAATTTCTAATTATTAATTGCCAGGATATAGAAATGCAATTAGTTTTTGTATATTGGTCTTGTGTCTTGTGACCTTGCTAACCTCATTTATTAGCTCCAAGTAGTTTTGTAAGTTATTTGGGATTTTCCACATAGATAATCATGTCATCTGCAAATAGAGAGAGCTTTATATCTTCTTTTTCTATCTGCACGTCTTTTACTTCTTTTTGCTGCCTTATCATATTGGCTAGAACTTGGGGTATGATGTTGAATAGGAGGAATGACAGCAGACACTAGACATATTTACCTTGTTTTCAGTCCTACAGAAAAAGCATTGTGATGTAAGGTGTTTTGCTTTTTTTTTTTTTTTGAGATTGAGAAAGTGTTTTCTAATCTTAGTTTACTGAGATGTTTTTAAAATCAGGTATTATACTAAATTTTTTCAATAGCTTTTGTTGCATCTATGAATGATCATGTTGTTTGTTTGTTCATAGTCTCTTGATATGGCAAATTGTAATGACTGATTTTTCAATGTTGAACCAGCCTTGAGTTTCCAGAATAAACCCCATTTGGTCATAATATATTATTCTCTTTATATATTGTTGGATACTGTTTATTAAAAGGGAATTTTTGGATGAATGTAATGAGAGATATTGGCCTTTTTCTTTCTTGTATTAGTATCAGAAAACTTGCCTTATAGTAAAAACTGGGGCATTTTCCCACTTGTTCTATTTTCTGGATGAATTTGTGTAGAACTGGCATAATTTCTTCCTTAAATGTTTGATTGAATTCACCAGCAAAGCCATATTGCCTGGATATTTCATTAGAGTAAAATTTTTAACTACATAGTTAATTTCTTTAATGATATATAGGGCCATTCAGGCTACTGAACTGTTGGGTATATATTAGCGGTAGATTGTATCTTTTGAGGAATTTGCCCATTTCATCTTTCCTCAGCTTTTCCAAATGGTAATATCTTGTCCAACTCTAGTGTACCATCAAAACCAAGAAATTGACCTTGGTACTATGAATAGAGCTTATTTAGATTTTCCCAGTTATATGTATTCTCACTTGTGCATGTAAGTGTGTGTATAGTTCTGTGCAACTTTATTATATGGGTAGCCTTACATAACCACCACCACATCAAGAATCTGTTGTACCATTGCACAAGACTCCTTTGTGTTAGCCCTTTGTAGCCACACCTAAGCCGACCCCTAATCTCCAGCAATGACAAATCATTTCCACATGTCTATAATTATGTTGTTTCATAAAGGTTGGCTATATCAAATCCTGCATTATGTACCCTTCTGAGGTTTATTTTTTTCACTCAGCATAATTTTCCTAAGGTTCATCCAAGTTGTTGCCTGTATATCAATAGTTCCTTTCTTTTTGTTGCTGAGTAGTATTCCATGGTATGTGGATATATATAGAGAGAGAAAGTTTGGTTAACCATTCACCATCAAAGGACAAGTGTGTTATTCCTAGTTTTCAGCTATTATGAATAAAGCTACTTTGGATATTCATGTACAAATTCTTGTGTGAAAATAACTCTTCATTTCTCTGGGATAATTTCCCAAGAATGAAATTTCTGGGTCACATGGTAAGTCTGTTTTTAGTTTTGACAGGAAGTGCCAAGCTATTTTCTGGAGCGGCTGTCCATTTTATGTTCCCACCACCAATGTCTGAGTGATCCAATTTCTCCACATCCTCACTAGCAGTTGGCATTATCACTGTTTTGCATCCTAGCCATTCTGATAAATTTGTAGTAATATATCATTATAGTCTTAATTTGAATTTCTCTAATGGCTAATGGTGCTGAGCATCCTTTCATGTCTTTATTTGCCATTTATATATCTCCTTAGTGAAATGTCTGTGCATGTGTTTTGCTCATTTCTTAATTGGATAGTTTGGTTTTTTAATGTTGAGTTTTAAGAAGTTTTCATATATTCTAGGTATAAGACCTTTGCCAGATATTGACAAGTGAATCCATTCAACAGAGTCTTTGACCAAACAAAAGCTTTAAATTTTGATGAGGTCCAGTTTATCAATGTTCCCTCTTATAGGTAATGTTATTAGTGTCAAGTCTAAATCTTTGCCTAGTCATAAGTCCCAAAGATTTTCTGTGGGTTTTTTTTTTTCTAGAAATTTAGCTAAGCTTCCATTTTAATCATTTAAATTTTCTGCTCTGTATCCAATTAGACCTTACATTTCTTTACCATTATCTAGATTATTTAGTGTTTTTTACCTTCTTGCATTGCATTTGTGACATCTCATTCCAACACAACCACAACGCAAGAGTCCTCTTATGTAAGAATAGGATATCATTCTTGAAAAATCACAAAAGATTGTCTATTGGGTGATTTTTCTTAATCCATAGGACTTAGTCCATCTCTTGGTCTGTTTGCAGCTTATTAAATGAGGTGATGTCTCTGGAGGACCAAATTGAAAAGCTGGAGTCACACCAAGACCTTGACCCTGATCAGGGAGAAAACATTGAGGTAAGCTAGAGGCTTGGAAAAGATAATCAGGGAGGTTGTGGGAACTCTGCCACCATTTCCCACCCCTTCTATTATTTAACAGACCACACTAAGAATTGAAACCCATCTTTTGTCATGAGGAGGATTGCTCTCTGGTGGTCAGTTCTGAGCACCTGTCATGTGGGTACCACCACTTCTATTCTCTGACAACGCAAAAAGACGAGTTTTTAATTCTACCTATAAACTCAGTTTGATAGGCTTATATCTTGATGCCATCTTAAGACCATGATGAGTACCTTAACAGAAGACTTCTCTTCTTGATCTTTGTACCCAGCACCTAACAGTTCAAGGAGACATCCAGGGATTAAATATTTATGAATAACTGCAACCTTAAAATGTAAGAGATATATTTGTGTTCATCTTTGATGCTTTCATGAAGAGTTCTTGTGTTGGTTTTCACAGTCTCCAGTTTTTCTGTTGTTTTCTTGCCTTGCACTGCCGAGAGACTCTTTTCTGAGAAAGGTTGAATTTCCCTTTTTTAAAGAGTCATAGGATGTTAGAAAGGTAGTGACCAATTTTGGATAAGAATTAGACTTCAGAGCCCTGCCTGACAGTATTTCTAAACTTCATGCCTTTGAAAAACAATTCTCTAAGAAAGGAGAAACCCGTGTCTATCTACTTCCTCTGCTTTAGCTCAAGCCAAAAAACTTAAAAAGTGAATTTTGGAGGAAATAAAGAAGAAATGTCTCTTTTATTGCAGGAAGGTAATGTTTATTTAGACCCCTCACATACTAAAAGTCAACTACAGATCAGCACAGATTTAACACCGGGGGGGGGGGAAAATACTTTTAGCCACGATTTAGTCCAAAATTTTGAAGTAGCAACCTCATTTTTAGCTAGATGAAAAGTCAAAAGTTTTTTTCACTATCTTTGGGCTTTGGAAATTGCAAATTATGAGAAAAGGGAAGAGGACAAAGCCAAGAAATATTCTGCCTTGGAAAATTTCTCCAAGAGTCAGCTGTGTTACAGGGATGAGGCTTTCAGTAGAAGGTAGGGTTAGGGAGGGATGGGTATCAAAGGAATGAGGAGAAAGATAGAAGAGCACAAAGATAAATGAAAATGAGATTTAAAAAAGAAACCAACAAAGGCTTGGGATAATACGAAAAGGGAAGGCATGACAAATACATATGGAGATTCTCTGGCCTGAAGATGCACAGCTTTGTATGCACTTTAAAAAAAAACAGCATGACTTAAAAATTATAAACACACCAAATATCCACCAACCTGTATGTGGATAAACTGTGGTACATGTTATAGGATAGAATACTACTCAGCAAGAGGAAGGAATAGACTTCTTACTCATTCAACAACATGAAATAATTTCAAGTGCTTTATGGTGAGTGAAACAAGCCAGATCCAGAAGATTGCATATTTCATGATTGCATTTACATGACATTCTGAAAATGGCAAAACTATAGGAACAGAAAAGAGATCAGTGGTTGCTGGAATTGCATGGGGAAAGAGAGCGGAAGATTGACTAAGGGGCACAAGGAAATTTGGGGTATGATGGAAATATTACATATCTTGTTCTGTTGATTATGTCATAATTCATAGAACAGTACACTTTTAAAAAGTGAGTTTTACTATATGTAAATTATACCTCAATACACATGGATTTTAAAAATGGACACAAGGTCTGTCCTCAATAAGTCTAAAGGGTGATGGGAAAGGCCCCATAAAAGCAAATGCAGTAATATAATAAGAAACTTCATCTATTTATTATTTTTTTTAGATTTTATTTATTTATTTGTCAGAGAGAGAGAGCTAGCAAGTGCACAAGCAGGGGGGAGCAGCAGGCAGAGGGAGAAGCAGGCTCCCCGCAGAGCAGGGAGCCAGATGCGGGACTCGATCCCAGGACCCTGAGATCATGACCTGAGCTGAAGGCAGATGTTTAACCAACTGAGCCACCCAAGCGCCCCATAAAATGAATTTTATTTTATTATTTTAAAGATTTTATTTATTTATTTGACAGAGAGAGACACAGTGGGAGAGGGAACACGAGCAGGGGGAGTGGGAGAGGGAGAAGCAGGCTTCCCGCGGAGCAGACAGCCCAGTGTGGGGCTCGATCCCAGGACCCTGAGATCATGACCTGAGCCGAAGGCAGACGCTTAACTGACTGTGCCACCCAGGTGTCCCTAAATAAGAAATTTTAAATATAAGTATTACAGAAGCAAAGTCAGTAGGAATGGCTGTAGTTTCACTCTGGTAAAGGGAAATGAAGAGTTTTAGATATGGAAACAACAACCAAAGTGTGGTGTGGGCAAATTAAAGGAGAAATAAGCTAATAAAGTTAAAATAAAACCACATGTATTGGCTCATTTATATCTTGTGAAGAAATGGAATGACTCAGAAAGGAATGGAAGAGAGAGGAGGGAAAAATCGGTAAAATCACTTAAAAAATACACACACAGCAGAAACAAAATTAAAAGACCTTTAAGGTGAAGAAAGGACTTTGAGGTGGCCTTTGGCTGTTGCCTGATATTTAACCCCCAAATTCACGAAGCTTTCTGAGATCTCCATATCAACATGACTTGATATGAATGATAGACTTTCATTCTGCAACTGACTCCTATCTATTATCTTTGATGCAATTATCTTAGATAAGTACCGTGTAAAGATATTTCTATATAAATAAACCAGGGTACCAAGTAAAATGTGATTAGAAGATCACAACTCCTTTCTAAATATTTAAGTCACACAATTCAGGGATTGGGGATGGATGAACTTGGTAAAAGAAGGGTGTAACTATACATTTTCTGGAAGCTGGGTTTTTTTTTTTTTTTAAAGATTTATTTAGGGCGCCTGGGTGGCTCAGTTGGTTAAGCGACTGCCTTTGGCTCAGGTCATGATCCTGGAGTCCCGGGATCGAGTCCCGCATCGGGCTCCCTGCTCAGCGGGGAGTCTGCTTCTCCCTCTCCCGCTCCCCCCTCTTGTGCTCTCTCTCTCTCTCACTCTCTCTCTCAAATAAATAAATAAAATCTTAAAAAAAAAAAAGATTTATTTATTTATTTGAGAGAGCGAGAATGAGAGAGAGAGAGTACCTGAGGGGGGGAGGGTCAGAGGGAGAAGCAGACTCCCCACTGAGCAGGGAGCCCGATGCGGGACTCGATCCCGGGACTCCAGGATCATCACCTGAGCCGAAGGCAGACGCTTAACCAACTGAGCCACCCAGGCGCCCCGCTGGGTTTTTTTTTTTTTTTAATAATACATTTTATTTTATCTTATTTTTAATTTTTTATTGTTATGTTAATCACCATACATTACATCATTAGTTTTAGATGTAGTGTTCCATGATTCATTGTTTGTGCATAACACCCAGTGCTCCATGCAGAACGTGCCCTCCCTAATACCCATCACCAGGCTAACCCATCCTCCGTCCCCCCTCCCCTCTAGAACCCTCAGTTTGTTTTTCAGAGTCCATCGTCTCTCATGGTTCGTCTCCCCCTCCATTTCCCCCCCCTTCATTCTTCCCCTCCTGCTATCTTCTTCTTCTTTTTTTTTTTCTTAACACATATTGCATTATTTGTTTTTTTTTTTAAGATTTTATTTATTCATTTAAGACAGAGAGATACAGAGAGAGAGCATGAGCAGTGTGAGAGGCAGAAGGAGAGGGAGAAGCAGACTCCCCACTGAGCAGGGAGCCCAACACGGGTCTCAGGACCCAGAGATCCATGACCTGAGCTGAAGGCAGACGCTTAACCATCTGAGCCACCCAGGTGCCCCTTTCTGGAAACGGTTTGAGAGCAAGTGCTCATTACATGTTTCCAACTAGCACAATGCCTAGCTCAAGGGCCACTTAACGTAGGATGTGGACAACTGTATCTTGTTGATACAACTTAATATTGATTTTGGAGATCAATACCCAGAGCAGTATCAAGAAAAACCACAAAAAAACAGTTGCTATTAAATCTCAAACTTTTTGATCATGAATGAGCTTTCTTCCAAAAATCTTCACTTTGTTTCAATTCCGCACATCATTCATTACAACTTTTGATTTATGCCCTTTTGTTTTAAAGGAGAAGATCATGGAAATTAAAAAGCAAATAGAAGAAACAGATAACAAATATGTCCAGGTAATAACATAATGGTGTTATAATTAAGGAAGAAAACCAGTTCTTCAAGGGAATCTCAGATCTAGGGAATTTTAGTGAATGGAATCCAAAATTGGATGAAAGATAGACTCAGTGTTTTAGACCTAGCAGGGAACTGTCTTGTAGTCTATACTCTCATTTTCAGAGGAGAAAAGTGTAACTCAAAAACATGACGTGATTTGCCCATATTTCTAGATGAAAAGACTAGTCTCATTCTTGCTCTCCTGTTAAAAAATGAAAATGTGTGTATTTTTTCTAACAAAAGTAATGCATGCTTATTTTAATAATTAAAACATAAAACTATTTCATATAAAAATGAAAAATAATCCCACTCCCTCAATGATAAACACAGTGAATATTTTAGTATATTTATATTCTTCTAGATTTTCCTATACATGTACTTACATGTTGTTGTTATAATTTAAATAGGATTATATTATATATATTGTTTTGCAACTTGCTGTTTTCCCTTAGCATTTTTCTTCAGCAACTTTCTATGCCACTAGTTGCCATTTTACCTTTTCACTGTTTATGTAAATGCAGGATTTGATTTTTGGATTTATTAAATTTATTTCATTGCATACTTGGGGCTTTATAATAAATGTGTGCTATTACAAATTTTGCCTCACCAATCCATATCTTTGCTTGCTTTTGCAAGTACTTGTTTAAGGAAAATTTCTAGAAATGGCACCTCTAGCACCCATCTTTCTTGAATCCCAGAACACTGTTCTTCCTGCTATAGCTTTGCCTTTCAAAGTATCCTGCAAGTCTATTATAGAATGATTAATTAAAAACCTTACAAGAGTTATTTACTCCTGACATATGTATATTTGGCATCCTTATCTTAGAAAAGTTGCTTTCAGCCTGTCTCTTGAACTTACTGATAGAAACCAACCCAAACCATCTGTTCTCTACCTCATGACCTAAGGAGATGGGAAGAAAAGAGGAACCAGACATTTTTTATGGATAGCTCTTTTGCTAAACTATAAAGTCCAAATATTCAAACTAACATAACAAGAACTTATATTCATATATTATAAATTTTAAAATACTTAAAAGAAATACAATTTTCTTTTTTCTCTGAAACATACTTTTTCTCCAACTAGTGTCTTAGAAGTTTGTTTTCTTTTTAGAGAGAAGGAGCACGCATATGCACACAGGTGTGGGGAGAGGCAGAGGGAGAAGGAGAGGGAGAGAGAGAATCTTAAGCAGGCTCCACGTCCAGCATGGAGTCCAATATGGGGCTCAGTTTTACAACCCTGAGATCATGACCTGAGCCAAAATCAAGAGTCAGACGCTTAACCAACTGAGCCACCCAGGAGCCCCTAGTGTCTTGGAAGATTTTTAAGGCACAAGGAAAGAATAATGAATAGAGAAAAAGATGATTTATCATAAGCTGCTATTGTATAAATTTATACTTCTACTACTAAAGTGTTAAAAATAATTATACTAATCTTTTAGTTTTTCCTCCTGCAATTTATCATGATTATATTATGAATTTGCTGTAAGAGGAAAGATTTTACTGAGTAAAAGTAAGCTTCAAAGAAGCCACTTTACAACTAAGTGGTGTCAACATGAGTGAGGTTTTATGGTATAAACCAGAAAAATATATTTCTATTTTACCCAAAATTGTGGGTGTCTTTTCAGGAAGATGCTTGTAATGAAGCTCATGAATTAAAGGAGAAACTCATTGCAAGAATAAAGGTAAGATTTCACAGTTACTCAAGTTCAAATAATGATAAAATCTAAATATAAGGATAATTCTTTCTCTAGAAGTTAGGGTTTTCCGCCTACTGTTTTCTTTCTCTTTCATTATCACTTTTTTCTCCCTTCCTGGCCCTCTGCTTTGGGTGGACAGAACATCTCATGGTCTGCTTCTACATCTCCTCCATTTAGAGCTTAGCCTCTATGTCGACATGTTATGTATTCTTCAAGGCTCAGCTCAAGTGTCTTCGCCTCTTCCAGACCTCCCATAATCTGCTCTAGCCAGAAAAGTAACTCCATATCTGAACTCCTCCCACAATATGTTGATGTAAATGTGAATGGGTGAAAGAAGCAATGAATGAGTCAACCTGTCACTTGTTCAGAGGTGCCTAATCATCCCACCTATCTGAAGTAGGTGTCCCACCAACAAACCTCAGCTACCCTATCTCATTATCTTATTTATTTTCTCTTTAGCATGTATCCTAATCTATAGTATCTAATGTGTATATATATATATATATTTAGTAGTTTATTGCTTTTCCCCCAGTCCCTATAAACGTGCATGTAATTCCTTATCCATTTGGTTTAAAAATGCACATGTAATAGAATGCACATTCCTTATCTATTTTGTTAACCACAGTATCCTAGAATAGTGCCTGGTGGGAGTCAATATGTTTTTCATAGATGAACAAATTGAACAGATGAATTCAATATAAGGATAATTATCTTCCTACATGAATAAGTCACTAGTTAGAGATTAGCATGTGGGTCTACCATGCTGCTACCTTATTTTGTGAATGTGTAAGTCTCTTTCTACTAGGTGAGTATGCACTTGCCAATGATCTCCTCATGTGACTCACATGGGATTGGCAATGTGGGCTCCTGAGGTGTTCTGGAGGAAAACCACTGTGCATCATCTACAATAAGACTAGCAGACCTCTAAAATCATTTTTTACAGTGACAGTTGATTGCTATTTTTTTTCAGAACTTTTACAAAGACATGACTCTGCTGAGTACAAAGCTGGGAACGTACCAAGGGCAAGAAGGGAAAACAGACTTTCAGAGTCCTGAAGAAATGGATATGGAAGAAATTGAGCCCCAGCTTCCTGAGGCTCCACCACCCCCTTTAGCGCAGAACACTCCTGCCAGCATTACAATGTGGTAAGTCAGAGAAAGGGGACTCTGGGGCTGGACAAAGGCCCCAAAATGTATGAAGCATAGTATGATGAATTTCTTCAAGGAATGACTAAAAATTTGTTTTACCTTCCTTTATAAATTATTTCTTCTTGTTCTTTAAAAGTCTATGTGTTTATTGGAGTCATAGTGTTTTTCATATTATTTTTAGCTGTAGATCTATTGCATTAGATATATAGATATAGATTTCTTTATTATTGCTTTAGGTAACTATGTGTACATAAATCTTAAAAGATGGTGTCTGCAATCTATGATGCGGCCACCTTCACCAAAGGAACCTTCCTGCTAAGCAGATTTGGAAACCTTTGTTCACTGGACAGGATGCCTCTCACTTGTATGGTATTAAAGACATACATCTTAGCAAATTCTGACTCTTTGGATCCCTTTCTGAAGATGCCACACCATCATATATTCCTGGAGTAATACCCTCCTCTAAGAAAACTTTTCTGATTCTTTAGCCCCAACTACCAATCCAAGTAGAATGTTCAGCAATCTCTCTTGTGTGTGCACTCTACCTTACACATAATCCTGACGTAGAACCCACAGTATATTATTGCAATTAAATTATTTCAAATCTGTCTCCTCCTAATAATCCATGAGCTACAAGACGGCAGGCATCTTTATCATTTTGGGACATGAAATATAAAACATCTTCACCATGCTGAGCAGATATTAAATTAATAAGTGAGGAGTGATGTCAATGAAAATAGTGGAGTAAAGACCCCAGAAAATTTCTTCCTCCATAAAAATCAATGAAAGAGCTTGAAAAAAATAGTCAGAATCAACTTTTTCAGAACCCTGGAAATTAAGGATTTAGTATCCAGAATAGATAAAGAAGTCTTATGAGTCAACAACAGAAAAGGAAACAACCCAACTTTTAAAATGAGCAAAGGACTTGAATAGACATTTCTTCAAAGAAGATACACAGATGGCAAACAAACACATGAAAAGATAGTCAACACCATCAGTGATTAGGGAAATACAAATCAAAATCATGAGCTACCACTCTACATCTCTAAGATAATTATAATTGAAAGGACAGGCGATAGCAAACATTGGAGAGGATGTGGAGAAATTAGAACCCTCAGACATTGCTAGAGGGATTGTAAAATGGTGCAGCCATTTTGGAAAACAGTTTGGCAGTTCCTGAAAATGTTAAATATAGAGCTACCATCTTACCCACTCCTAGGTATGCACCCAGAAGAATTGAAAATATATGTCCACACAAAAACTTGTACATGAATGTTCATAGCTGCATTATTCATAAAAATAGAAACAATACAAATATACATCAACTAATGAATAGGTAAACAAAATGTGGTATATCCATACAGTGGAGTATTGTTCATCCACAAAAAAGGACAAAGTACTAATGCATGCTACAATGTGGATGACGCTTGAAAACATGATGAAAGAAAGTCAGACACAAAAGGCCACCTATTATATGATTCCATTCCTGTGAAATGTCCAAAATAGGAAAATCCATGTAGACAGTAAGTAAATGAATAGTTGCAAGGCCTTAGGGTAGTGGGAAATAGGGAGTGACTGTTCATGGGTACAGGTTTTCTTTTTGGGGTGATGACAATTTTCTGGAATTAGATAATGGTGATGGTTGTACAACCCTGTGAATAAACTAAAAGCCACGGAATTATACACTTTAAAGGGTAAATTTTATGGCATGCAAATTATATCTCAAAAATCAAACAAGTAAGTAAATCTTTGTGTTTTTCTGGATCTTCCAGATCTTCTACCCTAATCATGTATTGCATTGATCATCACTTGATTGTGTTAAATGGGCAGATTACAATCCAGTTGAGTTGGCCATCTTTCATCACATCATTATATTCTAGTTAAGACCGCCTAAGGATTTGACCAATTTCTTTCTAAGAACTGGAAATGTACTGGTTCCACTGAAGCATACTTATACATTATCTTTTTGAGGAGGTTTATCTTGCAGACTTAGTCAATCATTGTGTCTCAGTTTTGTTGTTTTTAGGCTCAGAAGGTACCTCTTCCTGGCATAATCCCCAATTCCACGGTTCCCTTATAGACTTTCCACAAATAATGTGAACATTTTGGAAAAGATTAAAGGTTTTATGCATGGCTAATCTTGAAAAATAAACTAAATAGATACATAAACAGTATTTAAAAAGTCAAAGGAATAATTTTTATTCTTTAAAGAAGGTAAATTCAAAATGAATAAAATATTTAATGACACTAATATTTGGTTCCACACAAGTGATATGAAAGAAATTATTTTGTTGTTTTTTTCAAAGATTTTATTTATTTTTTCAAAGTCTGAGAGAGAGAGCACAAGCAGGGGGAAGGAGAAACAGGCTCCCCACTGAGCAGGGAGCCTGATGCGAGACTCAATCCCAGGACCCTGGGATCATGACCTGAGCCAAAGGCAGATGCTTAACTGACCGAGTCACCCAGGCGTCCCTCAAAGAAATTATTTTGAATTAGTAGCTATGATGTTTTCCAAAGAAAAATGTCTGCACTTTAAAAAATAAATATTGCACATGTTCTTTTGTTTTATAATAGAAAATCTGAAAAATATTTTATGTTATATTGACTTGTAAATCAAAATCAAATGATTCAGTAGTGTCAAAAAATAAATCTGAAAGATAAATATATATAAATAAATACATAAATCTGAACTCAACCATACCTAGAGTGTTCAGTGAAGGAAAGAAAAAACTGGAAGAACACACTCTAAGCCAAAAGCAAAACAAACAAAATAAAACAAAAAATTTAAAAAATTAATACAGGGCGCCTGGGTGGCTCAGCTGGTTAAGCGACTGCCTTCGGCTCAGGTCATGATCCTGGAGTCCCGGGATCGAGTCCCGCATCTGGCTCCCTGCTCGGCAGGGAGTCTGCTTCTCCCTCTCCCACTTCCCCCTCTTGTGCTCTTTCTCTCTCTGTCTCTCTCAAATAAATAAATAAAATCTTTAAAAAAAATAAATAAATAAAAATAAAAATAAAAAAAGAAAACTGAGCTAATGATATAAGGGTGATGAGATTATAATTTTTTCATTTCTCTGTTTTCCAAATTATCTGTAATTTAGAAAAACTATTTTTCTCTTTAAAAAATATGTTAAAATGTTTCTCTTTGAAAATGTTCCAGTTTGGTATTTCCAGAGATGATTGGTTTTAGAATTTAAGAAGAACAGTGTTTATTTACTAGCTATGTTTTGGTAGTGAGTCATTTTTCTTTTCATAAGAAAAAACAAATCTAGATTTAGCACTTCTCGAGGGCAGGGCATCTCTGCTTCATCTTAGCAGCCCTCAAAGCTTCTTCTGACTAGAGTATTTTTCAAAACATTGGCTCTTTCATAAAATGTGTGATAGGGCACCTGGGTGGCGTAGTTGGTTAAACAACCATTTCCTGGTTTCAGCTCAGGTTATGATCTTGGGGTCGTGGAATTGAGCTCCACATGGTGGTCCACACTCAGTGCAGAGTCTGCTTGAGATTTCCTCTCCTTCTTCCCCTCCCGCTCATGTTTTCTCTCTCTCCCTCTCTCTCTGAAATAAATAAATAAATCTTTAATTGAAAAAAAATGTGTGAAATAGAAGCAATTATTTGTGTAACTACCAAGAGACAACCAGTGGCAATAATGCCAAACAACTTGGCTCAGGTTTACAGAATCCACTGAGTTGGATCACAAAATAGATCCATAGCTAGCTTTAACTGTGCTCTAAATTTTCTCTTCTAAAATACATTATTGATGGTCATTATCTCCAGGTAGCTGGATTATCTGTGACATTTCTTTCCTTCTTTGTGTTTTTCTGGATCTTCCAGATCTTCTACCCTAATCATGTATTGCATTGATAATTAGAAAATAATAATGGAAGGATTTAAAAGCAAATAAATGAGATAGATCATAGGTCCAGCCTAGGAGGAGGAGTCCTGAAAGACTTGAGAAAGTTTATATTACTTTAAAAGGGTAAGTCTGGTACCAGGATAAAACTAGTGGTAGAGCTAGACTCCATTTGTCACATTGCATTTTATATCCCCAGAAAATCTAACTGCCTGGTCCTTTATTTCCCTCTGAATCTGTGTCAGATACCTCACAAGTGAGGAAAAGGTGTCAATAGTCTGCTAGAGTGTGACAAGAGTATTTCAAAGGAAAGAGTCTCATAATTTCCAGGGTTTCATTGTTTCATGGCTATAAAACCTTAGAATTCCAATACCAGCCCTAGGAGGGACTTAAGTGCTCAACTACTCCAAGCTCCTTCTTTTGTGGATGTCAACTGAGGTCAAGAGAAGTTCAGTTACTTCCTTGACATTATAGAACTAACTGGGTGGAGGAACCAGGAGTCTCATCAGTATGGTTTTCTTCAGAATGTTCTTAACACGGATGTTCTCTTTCCTTGCAGGAAACATGCACTGAGGATTTTCATCATGTTTTATGTCCTCATCTTCACTGGACTTTCATGTTACATACTATTTTTTGATGCTACATTTATCTTTGAAAGCTTACTCCCAACAATGCTTGGACACCGCAGAATGTGGGAACTACGGGAGATCATTGCTCCTTTCTTGAACTTGGAAGTGGAAGACTTGTTACCCTCCTAAAGTTATAGAAGTTACTGTTTCCCTACTGACTCTCTCCTTAATAAAATTCTGGCTGTTCTTGTATTATGGTGGTTAACATATTTTTCAAAAAATACTATTGGATGTTTGGCAAAGGACACTGTAGTTCTATGGAAATTGCTTGTTCACAGACAGAAAATATGAAAACTGTTTATCTTTACCTTTATGACTCACAATTACTTCTTGAATCATTCCACACGTTGTTTACACATTTACTTCAAAGCACTAGCTTCTTCTCCTCCAACCCTGAGAACATTGAGACTACCAAGAATTAGCTTCCTTGTTTTTTTTCCCATTTTCCTCAAAAAGGAAAGCACAGAACTTCTATCATTGTCAGTTTTACTTCAGTTGGATTGGGGCCATATTTTGTGAGTAGTGGACATTTCTTGGTTTTGATCCTAACATTCACTTTCCCTTTTGGTAACAGCACCCTAATTTTGTTTTCAAAGAACTATCTTTACCCAGTGAGCATAATTGTCAGTGGTCTTTCAGTCAGTGTTCCCTGTCTTTCTATTAATAGCAGTCGGGAATATGTCGAATTAATCATTCTCTAAGAATGAGAATTTTGAGAAGAATCATACAAAGAAGGGAAATGATTGAAACTTCAATTTTGTGAACTAGCCTATACCTTTTTTTCTGCTTAAATTAGTCAGAGTTGGTTCTATTGCTTATAACAAAAGGAAGTCTAATTGATAAAGAAGTTTGAATGTAGACTGGAGCATTTTTATCCCTAATTTTGTCGGTAATGGGGAAACAGTAAACTTTATTTGCAATATGAAAAAACAGTTATAATTGAACTGTGCAAGATTAAAAGAACCATAAAGAATACATTGGAGTTAGGAGGGCAGATGGAGCGTGAGGGATGAGTTAAAAGGCCATTCAGTGGTTCAGGTGAGCTAATGAGGGGGAGATGAGGCTAAAAAGGAGATGAGGGGTGATGTGGATATTGTAAGGGTGGATTCTACAATATTGGGTTGTGTAATGAATGTGGGGTCGGAAGGGTGGTGATAGGGAATGTGGTCCCAATTCTTCCCACATTTGAATGGATCTTGAAGGACAGACAATATTTTCATGGCAGAGATGAGGAAAAGACATTTCAGAGAAAGAAGCATCTGAGTAAAACTTAGAAGCCATGAATATAAGGCAGAGTCAGGAAACTTGCTCAACATACCAGTTTATACATTCTTTTTAAAAAACTCTGCCTCACTCATTTTTGTGGTCTCTGGAACAGTGATTCCCAAATAACTGGTCCATTGACTGGATGCATTGAAATCACTACAGGAGCCTTGTAGACTAAAGATTTTCAATCTCACCTCCAGATATTTAGATTCAGTAAAGCTAATGTGAGGTTCAGGAATTTTATTTTTAAAAAACTCCATAGCTGGGGGCACCTGGGTGGAGCAATTGGTTAAGCCTCCGATTCTTGATTTCAGCTCAGGTCATGATCCCAGGGTTGTGGAATCCAGCCCCACTTTGGGCTCCGCACTCAGCAGGGAGTCTGCTTGAGATTCCCTCTCTCCCTCTGCTCCTCTCCCCACTCACATGTGTGCTGTCTCTCTTTCTCTCTAAAATAAGTAAATAAATCTTTTTTAAAAATCTCCCCAGCTGAACATAATACAAATCTAGATTTGGGAACCATGCCCTGGTACACTTTAGGACAATGCTGTGCACATAGTAGATACTCAATAAATACCTACTGAAGTAAATTAAATTATGTGTTTTTATCTTTGTGGTCTTCCTATCACCTCATCCTGTGCTACATTTAATATTTGCTCAATAATTTCCATCATAGCCATTTTCCCAATGGTACCTTCAACTCCTTTACTATCTTTTGGCTTTAGCATTCTAGAAATCACCTGGTCCTTCCAATTCTTCTACAGCAGTTTTTCTCAAATAGCTCCCATTCTTTACATTTATAATGTTTCTATTCTGATAGGCTTTATTATACAAATGGATTACTTCTGGGAAAAGTCAGCCTATTGTTTCCTCCTCCATAGACTATTATACACACAATGCTAGAAAAGAATAGACCCCAAATGCCACTTTCATCCCAACATTCTATGGCCAGAAAACTCTATCAGTTGCTAGAAATGTGAAATTTACTTGTGAGTGGTTCTCAGGCTGTGATACTTAACAGAATTCCACAAAGAGAAATTCAGTTATACATTTGTCTGAGCATCACCTCCAGAAATTCTGAATCTTTAGATCTAGGATGAATCTCTAATATCTCCTGTTGTAATAGATTCCCCTGACAAGTCTTAGGACTCAAAGTTTAAGAACCACCACGCTATGCTATGGGCAAAAGCTACCTGGGATTACAATTTGGCTGAGATCCCGTACAAGGTTAATCATGAGGTGACTCCTTTTGCAGAGAGGGAGAAGGAAGTAAGTATGGGTGAGGGAGTTTCCAGGACTAACAGAAAAGGGAAAAAGCCAAAAGCTCTGGGAATGATGAGTAATATATTCAAAAGGTCATGTGACTGTGAGAGAATATGCTAACAGACAGACTTTTATTTTTCAAAATTTTAGATTTATTTACAAATATTAAAGGGACGATTCAGACTAATTGGTAGACAGAACTTGGCATATGTTTTTGATAATCTTCAGGAAAATTCCAATTACTGGATACAGTATCAGCTGCTTTGTTTATAAAACCAAAAAAAGAAGTATTGAGTTTAATTAGCTCAAGTAAACCTAAAAGTCCTACAATAATCATATAACACTAGTGATGAAAGTAAGGTAGGGAACTAGATTCTTTTAAGGATAAAATTAATATTTTATTAACTTCTAAGATATGTTTTATTAATATCTAAACTAAGATGGAATAATTTTCACTAGGGCTTGTATAGCCTTAAAGTGGGAGTGGTACTATTTTCTCATCAATTTATTTTCAATTTGTCAACATCTCAAGCTGGAAAGCTGGAGGTCACAATGTTCTACTCTACTGAGTAGAGTAGAACATTTAGGAAAGTACCATAATATTAAGATGATATAAATGTTTATATGTGGTAATTCAGTTAACTGCTTTGGTTGGTTGGGTTTTATTTCAGATCTTTAAATACCATATTCAATTGAGTCAACCACTATGCACACAATCACTTACTAAAAATGTCAGAATCATTTTACAAATATGGTCTTGGTTTTGGATTAGGAGAACAGAAAATAAATGGTCACAAAATCTCCATTTGTCACTTTTTTTTTAAGTGAAAACAGCTATACTGTAGTGAAAGGAGCTTTAAACTTGGATTCAAAGTTTACGTTAGAGTCATGATGTGCTGCCAACTGTGTGTTTGGTAGGGTCATCTACTCTCCACTCTCCCCCGCGCTGAAGGTGATCCAAGCACTTGTTCCCCAGCTGCCCAGAGTGTTGGCTGCTGAGAGTTTACAGCTAGGTTCTCCCCTTGGACTTGCCTTTGGTCAAAGAGATCTCCTTTGCCTAAGTTCCTCTCCTTTCCCAAGGGTACCTTGCGTCCAACAACTGATCGAGGCCAGGGTACATTTCTAAAGGGCCAACCTGACTCAGAGTTCCCCATGAGATTGGTTAAAGCTCTAATGCAACTGTGTCACAGTTCAGCTTCTCTGTCTGCCCCATCCTGTCCCCATCATCCCCTTCATGGGGGGGATGTCCCCAATAAATCTATACTTGAATCTGGACTTCAAAGTCCATTTCCCAGGGAACCTGACCTAAGACACCTGTAGAAATAAATGAAGACAAACCAAATGAGGACACCCAAAGACTAGTTATTTCAAACTTGCTATAACAAGGAAGTCATCCACTATGACTTATATCTTAACAGAGACTCAAGAAAGGCAAAAGAGTGGGAAAACTTTACAGTGAAAAAAGAGGAAGACTTAGGTATGTCCTGATTGAAGGCTATTGGCATGAGGGAAATGTAGGTGGGCTAACTAGAAGGGGGGCATCCTACATAATGGTTAGGGGTGCATATTTGGACTTTGCTGGTTGGTCCTAAGTTGGAAGTGAGGATAAAAATTAGGGAAGCTGTCAGTTATTAATCTTGTCTTTGTTCACACATGTATAAATAGTGGAAAAATAATACCTGCCTCATGAGATAGTCGGATTAAAGGACTCAACACTTAATAGGTTGTAGGGTATTATCATTATTATTATTATTATTACCGTGGACAATATTTTTAAACATGTGAGATTACCTAATTAAGAACCTTGGATCTGGGGTGCCTGGGTGGCTCAGTTGGTTGAGCGTCTGCCTTTGGCTCAGATCATGATCCCAGGGTCCTGGGATCGAGCCCCACGTCCAGCTCCCTGCTTGGTGGGGAGCCTGTTTCTCCCTCTCCCTCTGCAGCTCTCCCTAATTGTGCTCTCTCACTCTTGCTCTCTTTCTGTCAAATAAATGAAATCTTAAAAAAAAAGGACTTTGGATCGACCTAATAGGGAAGAAGTGAATCTGAATACACTTCCTGATATACTATTTCTAGAAATGAAAGTCACAGGGGGTGCCTGGGTGGTTCAGTCGGTTAAGCACCAGACTCTTGATTTTGGCTCAGGTCATGATCTCAGGGTCTTGAGATCAATCCCCACATCTGGCTCCGTGCTCAGTGGGGAGTCTGCTTGAGATTCTCTCTCCCTCTCCCTCTGCCCCTCCACCCCTTCTCACTCTCTCGAAAGAAAGAAAGAAAGTCACTGAGCCACAGATTTTGATTCCTTTCTTTCTCCTGTTCCACTTGAGTTCTGGCAGGAAATCTTTTGGTTCTACCTTAAAACATATGCAGAATTCAAACACTCCTCACCACCTCCCTGATATCAACCGCCCTGTGTGTCACTGTTATTGCAAAAATATACCAATTCTCTCTTTGATTCTTCCTGATTCCACCCTTGTCCACATATAATTCAGCAGTCAGAATGATACTATTATGATGTAGGTCAAATCACATCACCCCTCTGCTCCAAAATCCTTCAATGGCTTCCCACTTCTTTTAGAGTGAAACCAAAATCCTTACAATGGCCTTCAACAACCTATACTTGGCCCTCCGTTGGCTCTCACCTCATTCTGCTCTACTTGCCCCC